TTCTTAAGAATTTTGATCTTTATCCTAAAAGCAATGAAAAGCCATCGAAGAGTATTAACAGGGGACTGACACCAGATTTGCATTTTCAAACCATCACTCCGGTGATGGAGAGAATGGCCTGGGAGATGGCAAGAGCAGATATAAGGAGATCATTTATAAAGTTGCTACTTTGCCTGGGCATGAGGGAATGTGGCTAGACTAGAGAGGGAGGGGGCAAATGGGATGAAGGAGAAAGTGACTAAATTTGAGAGACAGGCAGGAGGTGGAATTGAAAGCATTTAGTAACAGATTGAATGTGGACAGTGAGACATTAAGGATGAGTCCCAGTCTCTAGTTTGAACAAAGTGGTAGATGATGGTGCCATTTACCTATATGGTAAAAAAGGAAGTGGAGCAGATTGGGGAAGTGGGAAGGGAAAGATGATTATTAATATTAGTCATGTTGAGCTTGAGGGCCTGGGAAACATCCAGGCAAAGATGTCTCCAGTAGACTGGATAAGCCAGCCTGGACTTCAGAAGACAAGTCTGAAAAAGAGGTATAGATGTGGGAGTTATTTGCATATAGATGGTAATCGAAGCCTTTAGAATAGATGAGATTCCTTAGGAATAGAGGTTAGAGGAAGAAGAGTACCTATGACAAAGCCCTGAGGGATACCTACATTTAATGGCCCAGTAAGGTAGGGAGTACCTGGAAAAGGAGAGGAGGGAGGAAAAAAACCAAGAGAGTGTGTGGTATCTCAGAAGATGAGAGAAAGATTTCAGGTAGGAAAGGGCAATCCACAATATCAAATGCTGCTGGGAGGTCAAGTAAGATAAAGACTTCTTCAAGGTGGTGTTCAGTGACCCTTAGTGCGAACAATACAAGTAGAGGGGTCGGATCAGAATGAGGAGTGCAGAGAGAGGTTAAAGGTAAGGAGAAAGGGAGAGAGAGTTGATGGGGGATAAAGGTTGATAGGGTTTTTGTCTTGTTCATCTTTGCATTCGCAGCATCTGCAACAATGCCTGGCGTACGAGTGCTCGGTATATGTTTGTTACATAAGATGGGAGAGAACGGGATCAGAAATATAGGTTTATGATTGCCCTTGAATAAAAAGAGAGAAGTACCCTTTCTTCTGAGGCAGGGGGGAGATAAAAGTATGTATGATAATTACAGCAGTCCTTTACTGACTGCTTACCATGTGCCAGGCACTGACTTAAAAGTATTATCTCATTTCATTTTTGTGAAACCCCTTTGACCTTTGAAGTAGTGTTTTAACCCTAATTTACCTGTGAGGAAATTGAGGTTTATTGAAGTAAAGCCACTTGCTTAGGGCAGGAGTTGGCAAACTTTTTCTAAGAGGCAGATAGTAAATGTTTTAGGCTTTGTGGACCACAGGGCCTCTGTCACAACTACCCAACTCTGCTATTGTAGTGCAAAAGCAGCCATAGACAATACATAAGTGAATGAGTGTGTCTGTGTTCCAATAAACTTTATTGACAAAAATAGGCAACAAGCCAGATTTGGCCCTTGGACCATAGTGTGCCAACTCCTGGAATTAGGGGGTCACATAGTGGTAATTAGCTAATTAGTGGTGGAGCTAGGATTTGAACCCATTTTGGGGGGGAGCCTGCAAGCCTATATGCCTGGCCACTGCTATGTTATGCTGCTTCTATCACATCCTTTTCTTCAGTTTAATCCACTTTAAAAAACAGAAATGTATTTATACTTTTCTAGAACTTTTTAATGGATTTGGTATGTGCAGCCTTTGGATGATGAACACCAAATACTGGATATCCTCTGATTTCTAGACTGGCACTATTATAGAGTCAGAGCTGGTACAGAATAACATAGTTACTGACGTTAATAATAGAATACCAGAAATAAGAGAAGATGGAGGTATTTCAATGGTCTAAACTGCCCATAGGATAAGCCTCTCACCCACTTGGCCAGGGCTCATAACAGTTAACAAAGACAAGTGGAAAAGAACAGACTGTCATTCCCATTATTGGGAGGGAACTTCCCTTATCAAGAGGGAATCAATAACAATCTCTTTTGGGAGCTAGTAAACCCTTTGGCCTTTATTTGTAAGGCTGTTCTTGCTGCAGATTGACAGTTCATTGTGTCTAGTATCTCTTCTCTCTTCATTTCTCATTGAGAAAATGAAAAGAGACGTATCCTCTTTCGTGGGTTTTATTGAAAGCTGGTTAGAATTAATTAATAGAAAGTACCTTGGAAGTATGATTACATTACTTATTTTGTGTTCATTTGAAAGAGCATATTTCTCCAATAGCATATTTTGCTATGCAAATAACTTTCTAAAACTATTCTAATAACATTTCAAAAAGTCATTTCGCCATCAAGATATTGAGATATATTGTGAATTGTCACAAATTGTACAGCATAGGGAAGGAAGCATAAGGTGGAGAATAAGTATCTTGCCAAAGTGGTCTATACGGAAATATGCAGATAAACTCAGGGTACACAGAACTGTCTAGTTGAAGAGTTCTAATCTCATAGTTCCCAACTGAACTGAGGGCCTGCTAAATGTAGACAAAACCAAGCTTGGGACAGGAGGGTCATCATCCCTAAACATAGTCCTGCTAATGGCCACAAACCTTCAACTATGCTCATTGAAAGGTTGGCATTTCTGCTGGCTGGCTTGGCCCATCCCCCACACAGGATCAGTATCTTGGTGTATTAATGCAAAGTTCAGGTGCTGCAGGGAGCTGAAACTTTTTCAGCCTTATAATCTGGACTTCGCTGCTTCAAATAGAAGATGCCCCTTAAGGTTATCAAGGCTACCTTCTGTGAAGAAATGATTTTGAACCACTTGAGTTTTAGATTGGCTGGCCAGCCGGATAACTTGTATAGGCAACCATAGGGACCAACATTACTTGCTAGGAGCATAACAGTACTATAGTATATTCCTCAAGTGTTATGGAAATTGGACTCTTTTTTTAGAGCTATGGATATCTAAGTGTATGATGGGTTTTGGGTAAAAGATATCTAAATATGGAAATGGTTAGGCAAAACCAAAATAATGGTAACAGCTATTATTTATTGAACATTTGATATACATCAAGTACTGTGCCTAGGATTTATATGAATTCTTTCATTTAATCCTCCCACCAATCTTAGATAGTAGGAACTTTTGTTATTTTCTTGAGATGAAAAAAAGGAAACTTGGAGAGGTAACACACCTAAGTGAATGGTGGAGCTAGAATTCAAGCTCAGGAATCTGCCTGCAAAGCCCAGAGGCTTAATCATTGCAGTGAGTAGCCTTCCTGACTCCTGCCAGTGTGATTTTAAGAAAACTAGGTTTTCTTAAGAAAAGAATGTTTTTGTTTTCTTAAGAAGGAATGTTTTAAAAAAAGAATGTGTTTTTAGAACTTTGTAGCCCATTGGGCAGAATGTACTATTTTTGATTCCTAACTTGGAATGTCCCCAGGGCATCTGTGTTTCTGAGGACCTGTTTCAATCCAAACAAGGAATCATCTTCAGTAGTCACCAGGTACTGTGAGCTGGGAGTGAATTACAGTGTGTGTCTTCTGTGCCCGCAGTTACGGCTAGATGAGGCTCAAGAAGCAGAATGCCAGGCCTTGAGGCTACAGCTCCAGCAGGAAATGGAGCTGCTCAATGCCTACCAGAGCAAAATCAAGATGCAGACAGAGGCACAACATGAACGTGAGCTCCAGAAGCTAGAGCAGAGGGTGTCTCTGCGCAGAGCACATCTTGAGCAGAAGGTATGAGTGTTACTGTGGGGCCTCTACACCTGGGGGGAGGATACGGCACGGCCTAGGGAACTGCCATTTATTGAGCCCTGCCTGTGTACCGGGGGATTAACCTAGGCACTGTTCACTTATTATTTGCTTTTATACTCCTAGTGCCCTTGAGAGATAGGCATAATCTCCATTCTACAGGAAGGATACAAAGGCTCAAAACGGTTAAGTTACTTGCATAAATCTGATCCCACAGCCTAAGCTCTTTCTATTACTCTGCTAGGAAACCCTCTACCTTCACAGCCAGAGGAATGACATGGGTTACTAGGCGCTGATATGACATATGAAAGGTACTGTGAGCTGATAGCATGGCTGCCAAATGGCATGAGGAAGCCAAATGCAGATTTGGTGTTTATTTTCAGCTAAACCAAAAGAAATCACCAGCAGGGCTCTTTAAAAAAATTTAAATGAAGAGAGGCTGATATTGCCATGCATAATGAATGTTATCAGAATTGAAATATTCATTGCTTTAGATATTGCTTAGGAATATGAAGTAGAAAAGATTTCATAAAGCATCTCAAAGCTGTTAAGCATTTATTTGCTTAACCAGTTATTTGTGCTTTCTTCTGGTAGTTCCCTGAGACCCACGTAAGAGACTATTTTCCCAGCTCCTGTTCTAGAATTAAATTGCTAATGACCCAGGGGACATTTGGGTCTCTATGGGAAAGCGGCACAATCTAATTGTGCTTGAGTGTCTTTGAGCTTCTCCTGAGCCATCTCCTGCTGAGACAGGACACTGACCTAGATCAGCCCAACTGCTTGGCTTGCTAGAATCGTAGTGCCAGCCCCAGGTGGGCACCAAACATTTTCATTCTTGTGAGCAAGTTTGAAATATAATGGACTAGATACAAGACATTTATCACAGGACTCTCCCAGCCTGCCCCAGTCTAGTTCACTCTTAGTTCCTGTGTGTTTGTGTGTAATATGTGTGCATGTATGTGTACATGTGTGCATGTGGGTGCCTGTTGGGAGATCCCTTCCATTAACTGCTCATTGTGCTTATTTCAGATTGAAGAAGAGCTGGCTGCCCTTCAGAAGGAACGCAGCGAGAGAATAAAGTACCTATTGGAAAGGCAAGAGCGAGAGATTGAAACTTTTGACATGGAGAGCCTCAGAATGGGATTTGGGAATTTGGTTACATTAGATTTTCCTAAGGAGGACTATAGATGAGATTAAATTTTTTTGCCATTTACAAAAAAAAAGAAAACAGAAAAAAATTCAGACCCTGCAAAACCACATTCCCCATTTTAACGGGCGTTGCTCTCACTCTCTCTCTCTCTCTTACTCTTACTGACATCGTGTCGGACTAGTGCCTGTTTATTCTTACTCCATCAGGGGCCCCCTTCCTCCCCCCGTGTCAACTTTCAGTGCTGGCCAAAACCTGGCCATCTCTTCTATTCATAGTACACGTCACAGTATTGATGTGATTCAAAATGTTTCAGTGAAAACGTTGGAGACACTTTCAACAAAACCAATAAACCAACAACAACAAAAAAGTGGATGTATATTGCTTTAAGCAATCACTCATTACCACCAATCTGTGAAAGTAAAGCAAAAAAATAATAATAAATGCCAAGGGGGAGAGAGACACAATATCCGCAGCCTTACACCTTAACTAGCTGCTGCATTATTTTATTTTATTTTATTTTTTTGGTATTTATTCATCAGGAATTAAAAAAAAAACAAAGTTTTATTAAAGATTGAAAATTTGATACATTTTACAGAAACTAATTGTGATGTACATATCAGTGGTGACATATTATTACTTTTTTGGGGATGGGTGGGTGGGTGGGGTGAAGAGATCTTGTGATTTTTAAGAACCTGCTGGCAAGAGTTTAACTTGTCTTCAGCATATTCTGATTGTATCATAATCATTTTCTGCTGTTGCAGAGGATGTGAATACACTTAAGGAGCTCACAGAATCCCAGTAGCACAAATTGGGCTTTGGCAAATCGTGTATTTTGTGTATAGAAGGAATTTAAGGAGAGGTATTACTTATTTTCATATTGTATTTTAACTGTTTCTCTGATCAAATTTTTTTACTTCCTCCTCCTATGCCTCCCCACCTCCCTCCTTTTCCAATTCAGTATTTGGAGTTCAACACTGTCTCTCAATCAGATCATCTTGATCTTTTTCTTTATTTCCCTTCCCCTCCCTAAGTCCCATATCTTGGTCATAAATATTGCATTATTCACACTTTCAAACTGTGTATTTTCTTACAATAAAAAATGATGGAAAAAAAAAGGCTTTACTTCTTTTGCATGCACTTTAAAAACAAAAACAAAAACATTTTTCAGGTTCCAAGGAAGAGCATGATAACTGTCAGAGCTTTTAATTATATTTGTAAATAAAAGTGTTCATCACATCGCCTTGCTGTGTTATTGTAGCAGGAAGTTTCCCTTCTAGGTTCATCAGTTCATAATCCAGAGGGAAAGCCGCCGTCCAGAAACTGTTCTCCATAGCCTCGGTTGCTCCAGGAAGACCATTCGAGATTTTCAGGTAAAGCTGTGTCTTCCAAGTTCTTCTACAGGGCTGAAGATAGTGTTGCACTGTTTGAAGTGGTCAACTGCACCTTTCTGTCCTTCAGAATAGAAAAAGGCACGTGCGCGTGCACACACACACACCCCACACCCCAATGTGCCAGTCATGCGTAGAGGCATGTATTGCTGAGAAGCTGAGCACCCTTAAAGAAAAGCAGGCTATGAAAAAGATGTTATAACCAAATATTTGAAATGACCCCACTGTAATAGCAGGTCTCCCTCCCCTCATATTCTGCTTTTATTGGAATCATTTTATGCATATAACAATGAGGTAGTAAAATATATAACTTCTAGGATGCAGTTTTGGGTTCAAGACAATCTCAGTAAGATGTCATATGCTTAGGGTTCTAAGTCCTGGACATTGAAAATTGCTCTTTAGGATGATGACCTGAAGATCATTCTTGTGTCCTACAGGACGTTCAGTCATCACAGACAAATGTGCCTGTCATGTTCACTATGATAGACTGAAGCAGAGAGGTACACTCAAAAACTTACAAAATAATTATCAACACAGGTTAACCCCAACCATAAAGCCTTTAATAATCATTACCCAGTTTCCTAAGCAGCTTAGTTCATTGAAGTTTCTCTATTAGGTACATCAGAAAATAATACTGGAAAGGGCATTATCCACGAAAAACAGATAACGTGTATTGCATGCTTATGCTTACCGTGTGATGGAACACTACAGTAAGCATTTTCCAGATGAGGAAATAGGCTCAGACCAGGGTAGGTGGTGGTGGTGAAGACAGAACTGAGACCTGATTTCAGAACCCACACTCTTAAGCATCGGTCATACTGCCATTCAGAAGAACACTCAATCTTCAGTAAGGCAGAAAAACTTCCTGTGGTCTATTTCATCCATTTCTCTCTATAGTGAGAAGGCCTTATGACTGTGAGATTATAGGTGCTGATCTTTATAATGTTCCCTCTCAACAAGTTTGTCAGTGGTGTGTCCCAAGGTAGAGTTACCAGAAAGAAGGAATGTGGGTCCCTGCTCCTAACACCTGGTACAGACTGAGTCTTCCAGCTCCTAGTACCTTCATGAGGAGGCAATGAGAATAGACAAGGACCAGAATGGCGGCAAGAGAACAAATATGAAAGAGGCGCTGGGACGGCAGCAGAGAGCCAGTGTCCTGTATTCATCCAGCATACACTACACTCCCCTGAGTTGAAAAGAATTACCACAGGTTTAGCATACATGTTAGTAAGGGTTGCCTACCTTTGACTTGCAATTATTCATTCAATGAATATTTACTGAGTAACGTATATGTCAGGTGCCATGCCAGATGCTTGAGATACATCATTGTGTCTCAAACAGGTAAAGGTCCTTGCCCTAATAGAGCCTACATTAGGGGTGGGAGAAAACTGATAACAATAATTATAATAAATAAATGATCTTACTTGGCAATAAGTGCCATAGATAAAGGGAAACGTAGGGAAAGGTGGGGAGATCAGAAGTGCCAGGATCAGCATACATTCACTCATTCAAGAAATATTTATTGAGCATCTATTGTGTGCCTGGGAAAGTAGCAGTAAATAAGATGGATAGGATCGCTACTCTGCTGGAGTTCACGGTTGAAATCTCCACTGAAGCAGAAGTCAGTCAGCAGTGGACTAGGTTAGTCAACAGTGGACTAAGACCAGCCATGACAATGCAAGTGCTCGTTGCTACCAGGAGTTTAAAGGAATGCAACAATTATAGAGGGTGTCGGAAAATGCTTGCCACTGATGTCTAACTGAGTAAACGTTTATTTCTTGAATGTACCATCTGTAATCACTTGTTTACATATCTATTGAAAAAGCTAGAGTATTCTCTTATCTTTTTGTATTCCTGGGCAACTGGAAACATGCCCATGGAAGAACTCCATATACCCCTCTAATTTTCATTTAATAATATATTTTGCCAGAGAAATTATAATAAAAAATACGTTTTTATTGTTCCATTGTGGCAGAGCAGTGTTAGTCTTTCCTGCTGATTACAACTAAAACGTAGACAAAATGCAAAAGCAGCTCTCAGGACAATGACAAAGCAGGTGGACTGTGGAGCAACAACATAGAGGAATGAGAGCAAAATAAAACCCTTCTCAGATGAACAAAAATTAAGAGAATTCATTGCCAGCAGACTTACTCTACAAGAAATGCTAAAGGAAGTTGCTCATACTGAAGGGAAATGATAACAGAAAGAAACGTGGACCTCTGGAAATTACGCAAGAGCAACAAATGGTAAATGTCTAGATAAATATAAAATATTTTTCCTCTTATAGTCTTCAAAATATATTGAAATATATATTTAAAATATATATTTTATTGAAAGCAAAAATTATAACATTGCCTGGTGAGGGTTTCAATGTATGTAAATTAATCTATATGACAACTATAACATGAAGTTTGGGGGATAAGGACCCATATGGTTGCCACGCTTCTACATTTTACATGAAATGGTACAATTTTTATTCTAAGCAGACTGAATAATTAGTTATGTATATTGTAAACCCTAGAGCAACTACCAAAAACAAGAAGAAAACCCGAAGAGGTAATAGCCCAAAATCCAATAGATAATTTAAAATATTCAAGTAATCCAAAAGAAGGAAGGAAAGGGAGAACATGTCAAGCCATGCTGTGGCGGCATCCCATATAAAGCAGAGGAAGATGGGCACAGATGTTAGCCCAGGGCCAGTCTTCCTCAGCAAAAAGAGGAGGCTTGGCAATGGATGTTAGCTCAGGGCTAATCTTCCTCACACACACACAAAAAAAAAAGAAGAAGAAAAGACATAGATCTGAACAACACTATCAACCACCTTAATTTAATTCACATTTATAGAACACTATATCCACAAACTTCAGAATATACATTCTTTTCAAATATACATGATATTCACCAAGCTAGACTATATGCCGGGCATAAAACAAGATTTAGTAAATTTAAAAAAATCAAAATCCTAGAAAATGTACTCTGACCAAAAGAGAATTTTTTAAAAATCAATTACAATGAAATATCTAGGAATAAAATATCTGGAAATTAAACAACACACTTCTAAATAAGACAGGTCAAAATGAAATCACATGAGAAAATAGAAAATATCTTGAACTGAATGACAAATACAACATATCAAACTGGTGAGATGCAGATAAAGCCGTCCTTAGAAGGAAACTTAAGCTTGAAATTTATATAAGAAGAGAAATCAATGAAGTAGAGATACACCTTAAGAAACTAGAAAAAGAGCCAACACAAAGCATGTACAAGGAAAGAAATAATAAAGATAAGAGCATAAATCAATTAAATGGAAGATAAACAATAGAAAAATTAATCAAGCCAAAAGCATATTCTTTGAAAAGAGCAACAAAATGGACAAATCTCTGGCTAGACTTATCAAGAAAAAACAAATCACCAATATCAGGAATGAAAAGGGAGTTATCACCATAGATCCTAGAGACATTAAAAGGATAATAAGAAAACTATGAATAACTTTATGGCAGCAAATTTGACAAACTAGATGAAATAGACTCATGTCTTGAAAAATACAACTTAACCAAAACTGATGCAAGAAGAAACAGAAAATGAATAGCCCTCTATCTAAAATTTTGAATTTGTAATAAAAAATATCCTGAAAAAAACCCTCCAATTCCAGTTTGACCGGTGAATTCTATCAACATTCAAGGAAGAAATAACACAAACCTTAAACAAACTTCTTCAAAACAAAGAAGGCAGAACCACTACCCAACTTGTTGTAAGTATATGTAATATCAAAACCTGACAAAGACTTTACAAAAAAAAATTATAGACCAATATCCTTCATGAATATGGATACAAAACTGCATAACAAAATATTAGTAAATCAAATCCAGCAATATTTTAAAATATTGGTTAACACACAATGAACAAGTAAGATTTATCTCAAAAATACAAAGTTGGTTTAACATTTGAAAATCAATCAATGTAATCACCATATTAACAGAATAAGTGAGAATAACACCATATAATCATTTAATCTAGAAAAACCATTTGACAAAAATTCAACATCCATTCATTTAAAAAAAAAAAACAAAAACACTCCCAGCAAACTAGGAATAGGAGGAAATATTCTCAAGCTGATAAAGGACATCTACAAAAAACCTATAGCTGATAATAGTGAAAGATTGAAATGTTTCCATCTGAAACATACAAGGCAAAAAAGTACCCACTTTCACCATTTCTATTTATCATTAGAATACCTAGCCATTGAATAAGACAAGAAAAATAAAAGATTAGAAAAGAAGTAAAATTGTCCATGTTTGCAGATGACATAACTGTTTACAAAGAAAATACCAAGGAATCTATAAAACTACTAGAACTAGCAAGCTCACAGGATGCAAGGTTAATAAACAAAAATCAACTATTTTACACTAGCAGCATACAATGGGAAATGAAGTTTAAAAAACAATTGCATTCACAGTTGTTATATTTACATGCCAAAAAATGTAAAATACCGAGAAATAAATCTGAAAAGGAGTTCAAAGATGTCTACATTGAAAAAAAAAAATGCTGAAATTTAAAACAACCTGAATAAATTTTTTAAAAATATACTATGTACATGGGTTGGAAGACTAATACCTTTAAGATGTCAGTTCTCTCCAAATTGGTCTATAGAGTCAATGCAATCCCAGTCAAAATTTTAGCAAGCTTTCTTGTAGAAATTGACAAACTGAGCCCAAAATGTATATGGAAATACAAACAACATAGAATAGCCAAAGCAATTTTTTAAAAAAAGAACAAAGTTGAGGGACTGACTTTACTTGATTTCAAAACCTACTATACAGCTACAGTAATCAAGATAGTTTGCTATTGGCAAAAAAAAAAAAGACAGAAATAGACTAATATGTGTTGTCAACTGATTTTTGATAGAGGTGCTAAGACAATTCAAAGAGGAGAAGAAAATCTTTTCAACAAATGGTACTGGATCAACTGGACATCCATGTAGGGAAAATCTAACACTGACCCTCATCTCACTATCTGCAAAAATTAATTCAAAATGGGTGATAGACTCAATAAAGAATCTAAAACCATAAAACTTCTAGGAGAAAATCTTTGTGAGCTTGGACTAGGCAAAGGTTTCTTAGAAGAGAAAAAGTAGGAACCGGAAAAGAAAAAAATAAATTTGACTTTTATCAATATCAAAAATTTTGCTCTTTAAAAGACACTATTAAGTCAAAAAGGCAAGCCACAGGCTGACCAAGAGGATATTAACAATACATTTACCAAAGATTTGTATCTAGAATATATAGACTCTTGACTCAATAATATGAAGACAAACCCAATTATAAAATGAGGAAAAGTTGTGAACATTTCCCAAAAGAAGATGTATAAATGACCAATAAGCACATGGAAAGATGCTCAACATCAAAATTCATCAGAGAAATGCAAACTAAAACCACAATGAGCTAACACTACACATCTATCTAAAATAAAAATACCGCAAGTTTTCTTGAGGATGTGGAGCAAGTGAAACTCTAAGGTAAAATGGTACACCCACTTTTGAAGACAATTTGGCAGTTTCTTATAAGGTTAAACACACAATTAGCACATAACCCAGCAATCTCACTTCTAGGTTTTTACATGAGAAATGAAAGCCTATGTTCACACAGAAACCTAAACATCTGTTCATAGCAGCTTTATCATAGCAAAAATAGAAAACCCTCAAATGTCTCTCACCAGTTGAATGGATAAATTATGTTATATCCATACAATAGAATACTACTCAGCAATAAAAACGAACTGTTGCTACACACAGCAACATGGATGAATCTCAAAAGCCAGGCAAGAAAAAGAGTACATACTAGATGATTCCACTTACGTAAAATTCTAGAAAATGCAAACTAAAGTGACAGAAAGCAGATCAGTAGTTGACTGGGAATAGGGATAGAAGGAGGGAGGAATTACAAAGAGGTGCAAGGAAACTTTTGGAGGTGATGGAAATGTTTATCTTGATTGTGGTGATGGTTTCATGGTGTATACATATGTAACACTAATCCAATTCTATGCTCAAATATGTGCAGCCTAGTGTACTTCACTTATACTTCAATAAAGTTGAAAAAATATTCTTGTTAACAGGGATCTTATCAAGGTAGAATCCTAGACATGGTCCTATCAATACTTCCAGAAATATGATTTTAAGACTATTGGAAATTTTGAGTCCATTTGAGTTTCCTCAAGGAAAAGCTACAGTTAGGCCAGGAATAGAAGATAAAGAGTCAGGTAAGAAAGAAAAAGATCTGAAAGACTAGAGTCCTGAGTGGAGGGGACACCAGACTAAGAATGAGATCAGCTTTCTGATGTTCATGGTCATCAGAATGAGGGAGTTGATGAACGGGCTTTAGAGAGCTCAGTAAAAACTCAGTTATATGTTAATTTTTGCAGAAGTATACATTTGGGGGAAGGGGAGGAGGAACTTTTATGGTATGGTAATGCACATAAAGAAGTCCATGCTGGGGTCGGCCCTGTGGCTTAGTGGTTAAGTGCGCATGCTCTGCTACTGGTGGCCCAGGTTTGGATCCCGGGCGCGCACAGACGCACCGCTTGTCCGGCCATGCTGAGGCAACGTCCCACGTACAGCAACTAGAAGGATGTGCAACTATGACATACAACTATCTACTGGAGCTTTGGGGAGAAAAAGGGGGAAACAAAAGGAGGAGGATTGGCAATAGATGTTAGCTCAGGGCTGGTCTTCCTCAGCAAAAAAAAAAAAAAAAAGGAAGAACAAGTCCATGCTCCCTAAACTTAAGAACTCCTTTACAATTATTCATTCAACTAATGGTCTTGGAGATTTCATTATGTGCTAGACATATGTCAGATTCTGGAGATATTGAGCAGGACATTGGTTGTCCTTGCTTTCATGAAGGATCCAGTCTAATAGAGGAGATACACATTAAATTTAAAATTACACACATATACATATTTTAAAATTACAATTGTAACGTTGCAAGAGAGTAGTACAGGAGAATCTAGCCCACTCAGGGAAGGATTCCCTGCAGGTCAGTTAAGGGATACTCAAAGAGTGAACAGGATATTGTGAAAGAAAGTTGGAGGGGAAGAAGATTCCAAGCAGCATTTGTAAAGGACCAATTCTGGAAATAGCCTGGCATGTTCATGGAACTGAGAGGCAGCCAGGAAGTTTGGAGTTTGATGAGAAGACAACTGGCAGGAAGCTAGAGAGGCAAATAGGGGTCAGATCATATAGAGTCTGATAGGCCATGTTAAGCATCTGGTCTACA